TTTTCTTCTTCACCCTTCCTCGTTTGCTCTTTCCTCTTTACGAGCCCTTCTGGGTACAAGCCCATCACTTTTAAATTCCAATTTATACCCATTCGAAAGCATGCTTGACGCCGGGATGAGTGAGAGGGGTTCTATCGTAGGGTGCTCTTGTCAGAGTTACCGGCGGCCCAGTAAGATAGATGCCGCCGCCTGACTGGGAGCCCGCGCATGAGGGCGCCTCAAGTTTAATTCTATCCCACCAACTATTTACACCGGATTGGGAGGGCAATTCGAGAATGTCCTGATCGCGTCCAGCCAATTTCTAAGCCCCTATTGCCACAGGGCTGGCAACGCGGTGCTCACCCATTTGCTAGTTCTAACTCCCTGCCTTCGGTAGCTCGAGTCAGAAGGCAAACTCCAAAAAAAAAGCGAACTCTATGCGTCCCTTCCGTTTAAATAAATTATTATAAAAAGTTCAAACAACCCAGAAAAATCCGGCAAAGCGCAGCTGTGGAATTTATTAAATCGTCTTTACTGATTTCCTCCTCCGCTAACAATACTTTTTCAAATAAAAATAATAAAACAAATTTTTTTTTTTTTAATTTTTTAATGTCTTTTACGCACTATAATGGGGCACGATATAATCCATTAGATCTCTCCTACGATTCTATTGATCTCACCTTAATTTTTGTGAAATATTTTGCATTGACCTTCAACATCATGCTTTTCAACAAATTTATATTGTATTTTAATAATAAGACAAGATACTAAATGAAACTGAACTTCCTAACTAGTAGTACTCCATAAATCAAAATTTTACCGCTACAACAACATCTCGATAAATCGTCTATATTAAAGCTCTAGACTGAATTCAATCACTGAAATGTTAAATAAAGTTAAAAATCAATACTATACATTTATTTTTATTTCTTATTCAAGCAACTTAGCGCTTTTTATTATTCGAGTTTCCAGCTTTTATTTATAAGTCATTTACTCTTAACTCGGCAGCACTCTCTACCTTGAACTGTGTTTGCTGTGTGGCAATGTTCTGCTATTCGAACATTTGGCCAAAAACAAATTTCGCTGTCTTGATTCTATTTTATTCTGGCGGGTTCACCACATTACCTTGTTCTATAACATCGGTTGGACATATTAATTGAATGTGCAACCGTCTAATAACACATCCAAACAAAAAGTGCAACATATGTATAGTATGTACGTACACCAGCTAACATATTCTAAAACGTAATTGCAGATTAAACATTCCAAAAAGATTTGCGTATTTTTAAGCTTTACTCAGTTTTGTGTCACTTATTCGTTTTTGCGTTCATATTACCATTTTAGTAAGTATTCTAACATAAGTATGTGAAGATGCGTGATATGTATTACATAAGAATGTTGAATAAATTTTCAGGTATATAAAATATTTGCTTCTAATAATGCTACATAACTATCTACTAACATATGAGAACCAGAAAGAAAAAGGGTTAATGTATAGTTTAGGTCCCCAACGAAGAAGACTCCAAAAATGAAATGGTAAATGTTAGTTTAGGTCCCCCACAAAGGAGGCCTCAAAATTAAATTTTTAAATCGTCTTATTTTGACTCTAATATTACATGGGTCGGCTAAGTATACCATCCCACGATTCCAGCATTAATGGTAGATAGAGGAGATTCTCCAGATCACGATATATATAATTATAGCCGCCGCAAACTTATAGTTTTCGAGATGGGTGGGCTTTAGTTTAGCATCCCACGATTTCAGGGTTAAGAGGGGTATGGTTGGATAGAGGAGATTCTCTAGATCACGATTATATATAATAATAATAATTGCCGCCGCAAACTTATAGTTTTCGAGATATTTGCATTTTAAGTTGAAAATTTCACAAATTTTATTTTACAATTTCTCGATTTATGGTTATCTTTCTTTTATATTATGCACTTATTATACACTAACTTTTCACTTCATTGTTTCTACATATTTATTTTATATTAAAATATTAAGTATTTGCTTTAAATAAGCATTAAATTCTTACACAATTTTCGTAATATGAACAATAACAAATGGGTTCCATGTTGACAGCTAACAAGTGTTGCCATATCATATATATATATATATATATATATATATATATATGAGAGAGAGATATTATATTTTGAAAGCGATTAAAATGAACAATAAAGAGGATTATACCCCAAATACATGAACTATAATTTTGTTCATCTCCTTCTCTTGATAAATTATGGTATTGATTGCCAACTTTCGTTGTTGATTTACGTGAGTACTTGCCGGCGACGGCCTTACTCACGGTGTTCCAAAACATAGCGTATCAGTAATGCGGTTATAAGCGCCCCAAACAATACGAGCTATTTGCAAGTATTTATTTG